ATCAACAAAGGACAAGTGTTGGTGAGGTCGCGGAGAAAAAGGAACTCTCCTGCATTGCTGGTGGGAATGTAGACTGGTGCAACCACTGTGGAGAACAGTATGGAGCTTCCTCAAAAAAATTAAAATGGAACTCCCATTTGACCCAGTAATCCCACTCCTAGGAATATATCCCAAGAAGCTAGAAACATCAATCAGAAAGAATATTTGCACCCCTATGTTCATAGTAGCACAATTTACAATAGCTAAGATTTGGAAACGGCCTAGGTGCCCATCAGCAGATGATTGGATCCAAAAACTATGGTACATTTACACAATGGAATATTATGCTGCCATAAAAAAGAAAAAATTCTCATCGTTTGCAGCAACCTGGATGGAATTGGAGAACATCATGCAGAGTGAAACAAGCCAGTCAATGAAAGACAGACACCACATGACCTCACTTATTTATGGATGATAAAGAACATTATAAACTGAAGAACCAAAAGATAGATATAGAGACAGTAAAGCAACAAGCAGACTATCAAATTACAGCAGGGAGGTTGGGGAGATCTGGGGGAGATAAGAGATCGACCGAAGGACTTGTACACATGCATATAAGTACAACCAATGGACACAAAACTCTGGGGAGGGAGGGTATGTACGACAGGGGGGGGGCATTGGTATATGTACAAAAATAATAATTTAATAAAAAAATATATTATAAAAAAAATAAATAAAAAATAAAAGTATATTTGGTTATTCAGCTCCTAAAACTCTTGGGATTTCCTAAGTGATCTGAGCCATGAAGGTCTCTTTTGTTATTTGTAAGAAGTACCTTTCAAACACGCATGAGTTTATGTTCATGAAGTGACCTTTGGAAAGCGCCTAAGGATCGGGGCTGTTTGCCAGGGGAACCAACTTAGAACGTTCAGTCCCTCTAACCAGGCCACCCTGAGTTCTGGGGTGGGAAGAGGGGCTGGAGATCGAGTTCATTCTCCAATGGCCAATGATTTAATCGGTTGCATCTTGGTGATGAACCACCATAAAGACCCAAAAGGATGGGGTTCAAAGAGCTTCCAGGCCAGGGAACATGTGGAGATCTGGGGGAAGTGGCGTGCTCAGAGGGAGCATGGAAGCACAGGGCCCTTTCCCCACATCTTGCTTTCTGCATCTCTTCCATCTGGCTGTTTCTGAGTTACATCTTCTTATAATAAACCAGTAAACTATAAGCAAAGCATTTTTCTGAGTTCTGTGAGCTGCACTGGCAAGGAGGGGGTAGTTGGAATCTGACCTATAGCCAGTGGATCTGTTAAGGGAAAACAGGCACCAAATGTTAGACTCCGGTCCTTGAGTTTGGGCTAAAAAAGAATTCAGAGCCAAGACTCAAACCTGAGCAAAAGTGGATATAGAAAGTCACAGAGGTAGAAGTGAGCTGTGGAAGAAGTGAGCCAGCTGGGCTGCGTGGACTCAGGAAAAAGTCACAGAGGCAAGAGAAGGGCCCTGGGGGCTAAGGGGAAAGAAAGCAAAGGCGCTAAGCACCTGAGGGACTGAGCAAGCGGGAGAAAGCTCAGGGTGAGAGGGTGAGAGGATAAGGCAGTGGGGGTGGGGATTAGTGAGTGAGAGAGAGAGTTGGGTCCTTTGTTTAAAGAGCTTTTTGTCTGTTTTCCCAGAGGAGGGAGTTTTAGGAGAGGCCTTGATAGAATAGTCATCAGCTTCTCCAGGTGTGTTGTTTCAGGGTCATCATCACCACTGATGGGTCAGCACCAGGGCAGGGGCTCATTAAGTCATTGCAGCTGGTCCTGATATTGGCCATGGTGTCATTTTGTCTGTTTTTGCTGCTTTTCTGTGAGGCCTAGATGTTATCTAGAATTTAAACAGAATTCTGTCTCTATGGTCTAGACCCAAGACTTTGTTAAGATTATTTGAGGCTGATCACCACATCATTGCCCTGAGGGCTTTATGCCTATAGGAGTGGTTTGTGCAAGGACTTGGGAGTCCTATGAGGCTATTCTCCGGGGGGGGGGGGGGGGGGGGAACCCCCTTGTTCCTCTTCTAAGGGGGTCTACCACATGCCTGTGACATGCCAGGGGAGAGTCCAAACTGTGTGATCGCGACATGAAAGGTCAGGGGGTCTGAACTTCATGCCCAACAATATGCTAAGGGCGGAAAGCTCATGCTGAGGGCAAGGTCCCACCTTACAACTTCTAGGGGCCCGGGGCTTTCTGCCTGGTGACTTCTGTACCTGGCCTTCCTTCCTATCTGCTCAGGTCTGTCTGGCTGCCTACTATATCAGGTCAGAAGCACAGGTGACAACTTGGATTATGATTGTCACTTGAAGGGAATGCGGTGGGGGGTGGGGGGTTGCTGAGGGGCAGTCTTGTGGGACTGAGCCCTTACCTCAGGCATTGAATGTTGTCACCAGGTGAACAGTGTCAGAGCGCCCATCTGGTGATGGAGAATTGTTTGCTTGGCGGAGTGAAAAACACCCCTCACATCAGAATCGGGATCAAACTCATTAAACCCATTTTACAGAGGAAGAAACTGAAGCTCACAAAACGTAAATGACTTGCCAAGGTCACATACATAGCCAGGAGTTAGCAAGACCCGGACTCAAACTCCTTTCCTCCTAGTGCCAAACCCTCCTGCAGCAAGAGAGGGGGCGGGGAGGAGCCACGGCTCCACTACTGCTTTGCATTCTCCATGCCTCGCTCCACTGGGGTAACAGGCAGAGTTTTTGCAACAGCACTATGAACACCAAGTGTTTCTCCACATAAAAGCGTTGGTCCTCAGTGTGTTATTTCAGGGTCATCATGCCTGTCAGAGGGAGAGAGTCCACTTCCTGGGGCCTTACAAACACGTCCCTGTAGGTTCCTCTCTTTCCTTATAATGGGATATTGACATCATCTTCAGTCAGGACTGGGAGTTAGACTGTGCAAATAAGACTAGAGAAGTGATTCCTAATTCGTGCTCAGATAACCGGCTCCTAACCAGTAAGCCCAGGGGCAGAGAGAAATGGCATGAGAAATACCCAGGGAAGCCCAAAACATCCCATCCAGTAAGTCCCATTGGAGGGTCTCAGGTGGAACCATAAGAATAGAGAGGAAACAGCCGAAACTGGTTTGGCTCAGTGGATGGAGCGTCAGCCTGCGGACTGAGAGGTCCCAGGTTCAATTCTGGTCAAGAGCATGTACCTTGGTTGCCCAGTGGGGTGTGTGCAGGAGGCAGCTGGTTGATGCTCCTCTCTCATCGACGTTTCTAGCTCTCTATTCCTCTCCCTTCCTCTTTGTAGAAAAATCAATAAAATAGATTTTTTTTTTTTAAAGAGAATAGAGAGGAAATAGAAAGGAGCACCTTTGAGGACGAGGAAGGGCAGACACGGGCAGAGGATGCCTTTTTTAAAAGTACATACAACTTCATGCCAATAACCTTGCTGAAGCTGCTCTAGCCTGAACTGAGTACATGCTGCTCTACCCAAAACATAAACGTTCTGTGACAGGTATCGCCTGGCTTTTCGGGAACGTTGTAAGGTTGACAGCCTTGGCTGTTTGGGAGCTAAAACTGGAAAGCAGATCCGTGTGGTTTTCTTCTTTCCAGGAATTGTCTGCCGGGGCAGAAGGAAGCGCGAGCGCCAGAAGTCACCTTAGGAGGCAGCGCTGCCAAAAGCCTCATTTTCCAAATGAGGAAAGTTGGATGCACTTTTCCAGATTCACTTAGCTAATTAGCGAGGAGGAGCCGCTCAGACAGGATAAATTCAACATGCTGGCAAATAAGCCTTTCTCGTGAGCGCTGGCCTCAGACTCACGTTACAATGAGCCCATTGTTCCTCCTGTGAGCCATTAAAACGATTGCTGTTGAGGAATGGCATCCATCCTAGAGAGAGCAGAGCTGCTCCTTCACTCCCTGAGCCAGACCATCCCAACACAGCCTTGCCCACCCCCGCCTCAGTGCGTGCCTCTCGGCTGCGTTTGGAATCTGATTCAGCATCTGAACCTCGCACAGCCTGCCCGTGTGAGCATGCTACCCGCCTCTGGGTTTCCTGTCCTATCATTACAGACTTTATCAGGCGACCAAAAAATATGCAGGCATCCCGGAGATTCAGGAAAAATCCTTTTTTTTCCAGATGTTTCCCATGTTCTAGTACAGTGACTCAGGGGGGAGACTGTTTTTCTCCAAATCCTGAGCAAATCAATATGGAGGAAGCTCCCCCTTTATATCCCTTTGTTTTCTTTGTCCCCCAAATATGTATGGGACTTCCGGACCTTTCACAGGATTTGCAAAAAGCCCTGTGTGTTGGGATGGGGGCCCGTGAGACCACATCTAAAGGCCTGGCCTGGTGCCAGCACTGAAAACCCCCTCTGGGGGTTGTGTATTATTCATGGTTCATGGCCTCTGTAAAATGTGAGCATTTAGGTAAACCCGTCTTGCAAGACCAGATTGTGGAGAAAGGGGCAGTGACTTAATTATAGGCTATCAAGAATGCACATTAGGTTACTGGCACAGATTCAGTTTGCTAGCCCCCCAAAAATGTCTTATTTTCCCCCATCACTATGAGATGAGTCCCTGAGCTGGTTCTCGGTATATGCAGGAATATGCAAGGTCATAAATATTCAAGTCGGACTTTTGGAGTTACTATCGGGGACTTCCAGAGACAAAAAGGAGGAAACCCCAAACTTCAAAATATTTGACCCAAATAAATCCAATCCAGTAAGTCAAGTTGGAGCGTCTAAGGTGGTCAGAGATGGGCCCAGGAGAAATGAAAGAAAATACAAAGAAACAGTATTCAGGGTGAGAAAGGGCAGGTGACTACCTAGGCAGAGGATGCTTTCTAATGTTTTGGGATTTTGTTGGTTTTTGGGGTTTGGGTTTTTTGGGGTTTTTTTCAGTCTCCTCCCTTATACTCTTCATCTTTTCTTTCTTTCTGAACATGAACATAAACTCACTTGCCGGGGCCAGCCTGGCAGGTTGAACCGGGCTGAGGTAGGGAGGTGGGAATTGAGAAAAGAAAGACAGAAGAGCGGGGTCGGGAGGACGACAAGTCCTCGAGGAACTGTAGCAAGTTTATTAATTGGGCAATGCTTTTTATACACAAGACACTAATTAGGAGGTCTGTCCAGAGGAGTGTATTTCTTTGTTCCTCTTAATCTCTAAAGGAGAGATAGAGCCAAAGGACAAATTCTTAGTACAATAAATCTTCAGTAGGTAAATACAGACTTCTTGGCAAGACATGAAACGTTGCTCTCCTACTACATAAATTACTTTCATTCTACTGATAATCGCCATCCAAACAAGTCAGGGAAAACTGTTTGGGTAGGGGACCAGCCTTGCTAGCCCCCTCAGATGCAAGGACCTTGTCAGCTTACATCCTGTCACCAACACTCACTCATTTGCTTCCATATAAATTCAAATGCAACATTTCTACTGACCACATTGCCTTTGTTGCCTCACCGTGGCCTAGACCCATCTCTGAAATAATCAGCATTGGCATCTGCCATCCTCACTTAGGAATCCTCTTCTTCCTCACCCCTGGATAAGGTATGTACAGGACTCATGGCCAAAACCACACCCTACCTCCCACCTCCCCTAACCCCCGATTGTTTGTCTTAGATGATGTTGACTGCAAAGAAACATGCAATCACATCATTCTTGACAAAAGACCTTTGGAATGAGTCTATTTCCCTTTACCATCTTTCGCAATTCTGGTGACCTAAACACACGCAAAGCCTGAGCCCAAAAGGAATAGCATTTCAAGAAAGCAACGAGGGGTGTGGAGGTGGAGAAGGCCTGCGGAAACGTCTAAATCCTGTTACAGAAATATCTATCCTGCCTGGCTCCCGTCCCCACCCAGAGTTGCTATAGCACCTGAATAAGTTTAAGGTTTGTCTCCAGCAGGCCCCTACCCCACCCCTTTTTCATCAGATCTCCTGAGAATTCTTTCTCAGTCTCCTTGAGCTGACCTCAGAGGCAGCGGTAAGTATTCTGAGAGCAGCATTTGGGGTCTGAGAACGTCTGTTTCACTTGAGTTTTGCAAGTTTTAAAGCCTCCCTTAGAGTAGCCCCACCAGGGTAGTTGAGCCCTTTATCAACGTTTTCTTGGGCTTCGTTTCATCACTGTTACTATCAAGAGAGTAAAACTTGAGTCTTTCACGGGGGAAAGAGCAAAGCTGTAGTTTCCGCACAAGACCCAGTTTTGTTTGGGGATAAGTTAAAAACACACACAAAGCATTCCTGCCAATTCAACGTAGATTTTTATGTGTAGCTTGTACCTAAGAGTATCTGAAATCAGGGAGTGGCCACAATTCAAAGAACAAAAGAGAGCATTCAATTATTCCCTCCTGAAACTTTATGAAGCACAAGATGACAGTGGGTAAAGGCTAAGAAGGCCGGTCTGGAGATAGAATCTTCTATGCAAGTCACTAAACTCTCTTGGCCTCAACTTATTCACTAAAAAAAAAAAAAAAGAAAGAATTTAAATTTGGTTTATTGGAATAGTGTAAGGAAGTATTAAGCTATCACTGACAGTGTCCTCTGAAAGTGTATGCACAGTAGAGAAAGCTTTTTTTTTTTAATATAATATGTTGAGAAAATGAGAGCGCCAGTTCAACCAATCATTGTCATTGAAGTCCCCATTCACATTGCCCCCATAATCCATACCACCGTGCCTAAGGAGCATAGACTCACAGACTTCAGAGTTGGAAGGTGCCACTGAGTGGTCACCGTATCAGTAGTTCTCCGTTTCTTGAACCCTCATCACATTGTCAAGTACCAGGACCTCTGATGGCACGCTCAAAAGGCTCAGACGTCTCACAACATCATACAAATCAGCAACAACTTTAACGCTGTTGCCCTTCAGAGCTGTGCCACCTTGGGAGTAAAACTCACTTCTGTTTCATCCCAGTCAATGGGCAAGCTTCCTTGGTGTCAGCTGGAAGCAATGCCACTCACTCACAGCAAGTCATCCCCGCTCCGTGTCATCTCCCTCCGCCGGCTCAGCTCAAAGGCAGCCTGACAGACATTACTCACGAGCATTACTGACGAGAGAAGTTTATACGTTATCTAACCTGGGCAATAACTCTGTGATGCGTCTGCGGTACCAGCTTGCCGTGGTACAGTGGTTGACAAACAGAATTCCACCCTAATACAAAGATGTGATGAGAACAGCAAACCCTGAACAGGTTATTAAGAAATTTGAATTCCAGCCGAGACCAGTTTGGCTCAATGGATAGAGCGCCGGCTTGGGGACTGAAGGGACCCGGGTTCGATTCTGGTCAAGGGCATGTACCTTAGTTGCGGGCATATCCCCAGTAGGGGGTGTGCAAGAGGCAACTGATCAATGACTCTCTCTCATCGATGTTTCTAACTCTCTATCTCTCTCCCTTCCTCTCTGTACAAAATCAATAAAATATATTTTTAAAAAAAAAAATTTGAATTCCAGAATGGTGGTCTTCCACTAATTATCTGTGTGGCTTTGAAAAACCGGCCCTCAATTTCCTCACTACCAATGAGGTATTTAAGACAATCTCCTAAGAGTGTTCTAAAATTCCATGATTCTTAAACAAGTCCCACATTGGTCCCTGAATGGTATTACCCTCTTACCCAATAGACAGATAGTTGCACACAAAAAAAAGAGCAATTTCATAAATGTATTGGATAACTTTTCTTTTGCTATGTACTGAACAGCCAATTCTACCTTCAACAAGTGCTCAGTTAACACAGCATAGAAAAGGCTGTGCTAACTGGCTATGGGACTGAAGCTTGTGAATCAACAAAATGTCAATTTCCTGACCTTCATAAAGGTTGGTAAAAGGCTAAATAACACACCTCTTGTTATAAATGCACCATCATATAATAATGATTTGTGTATATGTAAACACCTTTTCCTATACGCATCCTTCATTTAGATATATCTCAATAAAATAACACTCTTATCGAACACGGAGAAAGTATACGTTTAAATACATACTCATAACACCATAAATATTTTTTAAACTATACCATCTGGTGCAGTAAATAAAAAGGGAACAAAAAAAGTAAATGAAGAAAAAATAGTGTTTTTAACCATATTGAATAATTACAAAACAACTGAAAAAGAAAGTAATGATACTTTATTTTACTTTTACTTTTTAATCCTCGTCTGAGGATACGTTTTTGTTGAGGGAGGGAGGGAGGGAGAGAGAGAGAGAGAGAGAGAGAGAGAGAGAGAGAGAGAGAGAGAAAGAGAGAGAGAGAGAGAAACATCAATATGAGAGAGGAATATCCATCAGTTGCCCCTGGCAACCCACAACCCAGGACTATGCCCTGACTGGGAGTCACACCTGGAACCTTTTAGTGTATGGACGACACTCCAACCAACTGAAACACCCAGACAGGGAGAAAGTATGATACTTTAAAGAACTCAGGTTATTTTCCATGACCAAAAGTGTTCACTGCACTAAAAGTCAATTACCATTTTCTTATCAATGAGACAATGCATTCTGAATTAAAATTTTTCAATTTTTTTTTTTTATAAATCCCTTCAAAATAATTTTATTTCTTCCCATTCAAGATAAACATTCACCTCTGAACAAATGACTTTGTTTCAATAGCCTTCCGGTCACCATAACATAGTGTGGCACCCAAGGCCATACCTAAAGTTGCAAGCAATCCCTGCATTAAAAGAGTAAATAAGTGAATAACACCTGATCCAACATTAAACCACCCAGCAAATTTCCACCGGGGTTTGAGTGTCTGGGCTGCCAGAAGCCGTGAACTCCCCAAGGCACCTCAGTGACACCAAGGGCCGTGCAGCAGAATCAGCCTTTCCAAAGCTGTATTCACTCCCCACCCCGGCAAGACGCCCGCTCCGGGTCTGAGCGGGGGGTTATCTGAGTCTCTGCTCCAACCTGAGTTTGAGATTTTATAGGGGTGCCTACTGGTATATGTTTTTGAAGAATGAAGATATTTAGTTCTGAAATAGAGTTACATGGGTTTCCAGTGTACAGCTCTATGGTACATCCTCTCTATATTGCATTGCATGTCCACCACACAACATCAAATCCCCCATTAAGGCTTCAGCGCTCCTAAAACCATAGCTTTCACGTGGGCATAGCTTTCTACTTGCTCTAGTTAAACTTCACCAGGCAGCTTTGACTTTATAAAAGGGTGAAAAATGCTCCCCACCCACGGGGGGGGGGGGGAGGAAAAAAAAAAAAAGAAAAAAGGATATATCCCTGCCCTCATTCTGAGAACCTTAAATGGCAAAAAAGCATTTTACTGATGTGACCATTAAGGACCTTGAGATGGAGAGGTTATCCTTAATTCTTCAAGGGGGCTCTCAAGGCAGCCACAGTGCCCTTCTAATAAAGATGCAGAGGAAGACTTGATGCCGGCGGAGAAGGTGTGTACGGATGGAGGCAGGGATTGGAGCGATGCAACCACAAGGCAGGAAACCCCAGCAGCCCCCAGGAAGCTAGAAGAAGCAAGGAATGGATGCTCCCCAAGAGCCTGCAGAGAAAGGGCAGCCCTACCCGGTGATACTGATTTGGGGCTTCTGTCCTCTAAACTTAAAATTGGTGTGTGTTTTTTAAGCCATCGAGTTTGTGGCTGTATTGCAGCAGCCATAGGAAACTGATAAGAGTTTTCAACTAGCGTTTCCGTTGTTTTGCACGGACCATGACCTCAAAACACACTTTGGTGTTAAATACCCTTGAAGAGATCCTCTACGGACAGTAACGGGGCTCGCTGTGCCAAGGACCGCCCTCAGACTCGTTCTGCTGGGAGAGACATCTGTTGTTGAATTGGAGTAATTCAGCTTGTTAGATAGAGGGAAAGGCGATTTACATTCTGGTTTAAGCAATTTGTGCTCCGTTACCTGCACATGAAACTAGCGTTCCCGCCCTAACGAGCCAAAACGAGTAACTAAGTGCTGTTTTCCAACCTACTGAACGGTTACGAGGATACTGTGTATTACTTGTCTTTTTGGACCAAATCCTAAATGACAGGTCTTTGAGGGGAGTTTTCAAATCAACATGTTATCTAAAACGGGATCGACTTCAAGAGGATATTTTCATAAAAGCAAGCCATTCCTTTACAGCCTTTAAGGTATATGGGCTTTCCAATGATCAGCTGCTGTGTCAAATAAACACTTTGCGCAGCGTTATAATAATTGCTACTGTGCCGAGTTGAGGCTGCCGGAGCGATGCGTTTCATTCACATAAAATTCCCATGTTAAACGCTCAGCCAGCCGCCTCCATGACTCCTGGCCAATGCTGCCACCTGGTGGCCACACAGCCATGGCATCTGTCCACCGGGAACCGCCCCCTGGCTCAGCAGTCATTCATCTGTCCTCTCCTGTGCGTGACCGTGACCGCAGCGGGACATAGAGTCTCTCGTCACCCAGGAGAGGGGCTGATCAAGGCCGAGCGCGCAGCTTTCCGACGCCCACCCCTGTGGCCAACTGCTGCTGCCCACGGTGGCTGGCATCTGCCAACGCCAACGTGAAATGTCACAGTAACAAAGGCATGCGTCCTCCCCAGGAACAAGGGTCATCAACATGAGCCCTTTTTGTTTGTGAAGCGTGAGCACCGGGTAGCTGCTGGGGGGAGCCCTCCGGGAATAAGGTCCTGGGGAGGACACCGAGGTCACATGGGGACACAAACGCAGCACCGAGCGCCTCTTCAGGCAGGTTCCAGCTGCACCATCCCCAAGCTGCCACCCGACAGTCCCAACCTGCGACTGGGGAAGAGTCAGGCTGGGTGCTGGGAGCGAGGCCAGGGACTGGGAAGAGCCAGGCTGGGTGCTGGGAGTGAGGCCAACCCTGGATCAACCCTGTCTCTTATAGCTACAGGTTTTACCTGAATAAGGGCCCAAACAGTCACACTCCCTTTTGTAATTCCATGAACGTTTAGTTTCTCATGAAGTATGGCAATGCGGGTTCAAATCTCTCAGAAGCTAAAGTTCAAGGGGAATAAAATCTATCCTCTATTAAAATTAATTGTTAAATATCAATATATACTACAAAGGGAATCAAGCACTTAAGATTCATAGTACCTACAATTATATGATACCAATAGCTGCTATTATTTGTTCCAAAGGGTATAAACATGGGATGCTGCAGACAAAGAAGAGTTGTTGGCATTGGAAATCTTCAAAGCAGGAGCACCTAGAGTTACACCTGTCTGCCCCGGGGTACGATAGGTCCTACAGGAAGAAGATCTTAAGTCTTGGATTTGAGATCTCCTCTGGAGAAATTTAGTCCTCAAAACAAATTATTGCTAGGTCCTAGCTATAATTAGCACCGAGTCCTTCTAAGAAAGAAACGCTAGTCTGTGGGTGTGTGGTATACGGTAAAAGCTTTTAATGATTCTGATCTGGGGAGGCTCATGTAGTAACCAAGGTGTGCAGTATCAAATGCTCCTCCTTTCTCCTGACCGCACGTTCGCCTCCGTGGGGATGCGGTGTGACAGGCCTGTGCTTGTGTGGCCAAGGGCTCCAGAGGGAGAAAGATTGGGGGGCTGCGCCATGGCCGTAAAATGCATGTCAGGCTCTGGGGTACACAGCTGGCCACTGCATCCAAAGTAAGAGCTCCAGATGAAGATAGGTGTGTGCCCAGCAAACAGAGGTCACCCTCCTGCAGCCTACCCCCCATTTGCTACTGAAGAGGACTCTGAGGGACTATGGGAGGGGGGACCTCTAAGAAAAGGTCCTTCTTGACTAACGTGAGGAACGTAGCACGTGCACTTGGAGTGCAAAAAAGCAAACTTAAATAGAATGCAGTTCTTACTCTTCCAGACTCCGGTGATTCTGTGCGGCACTTGCTCTTGGTTCAACCCAGGGCACCCGTGTTCTGCGGCCCCCTCAGCCACAGAGGCAGGAGACCAGAGCGTGTGTAGGGAGTGACTCGCGACATCCCGCCCAGGGTCACACCGGTCCCATTGGCCACAAGCAGGAGCGCAGCCCCACCCTGACTGCAAGGGGCCGGGAAACGGAGCGGTCCCGTGGGGTATTCGGCCCAGATTCCCGGTATGTCTGGGGAAGGACTTGGGCACTGGGTACGAGGCACGTCAAAGAGCTTGCAAACCCACTCTGGTGTGCGGGGAGAAGTGCCGAAGGCAGACTGGCGCAAGCTGTGTGGCCGGTGTAGACACAGCTGACTTCCCCGGATGGGAAGGAAGTGGGCCTTTGCAGAGCAAAGAGCTGAAGAGTGGAAACTACCGGGGAGAGCAGGAGAACATTCTGCTGAAGAGAACTAATCAGTCCAGAGAACCGTGCACGGTGGGTGCCAAGCAAAGCTGCCCACGGCCCCGCCCTCCCTCTGCCCAGCTGCCACCCGCCACACCCGGCGCCAGCACCGGCCCCCACTCTACAGACCGAACATTACAAACTGAAGAAGATGCCGGGGGACGAGAGGGGGCGCCCTAGAGAAGTGCTCCTCAGGCTGCATGTGAGCAGAATGCTCCCCTGCCCTCTGAGGGCATGCCTCTCTCCCTAGAAATAACTCAGCACAGCTCCCCCTTCCACGGGACCGAGAGACTCAGCGTTGCCCCGAGCACCCTGGCTGCGAGCACAGTCTTCCCTATAAGTCACTGCATGTCCGGACCCCCAGGTAGGATCAGGAATGCCTGATCGAGGCCGAGACCCCAGGCGGCCGCCTGGCCTTCTAGATTCCCAACACCAAGTAACAACAGTGAGCCAGCCCCGGTGCTTATGCTGTCAACTCAGCCTTTACCACCTGCAGGATTCGTCCAGATTACAAGCACATCAGCGCACACATGCACGCGCATGCACGCACACACACAAGCATTGGGGGTTAACAAACTGCAAGCCCAGGAGTCCCCAGTGTCCTCTGGTCTGGGCTATTCACAGAGCAGTGACCACTGGTCACTTGGAGTCACAGACGCCTCGGTGTCCAGGGGGCCCACGTCTTGCAAGGAAGACTGCCAAGCCAGCTGGAGGCAGCAAGCCCCAGGACAACCAACAGCCACCCCATCAGACACGCTCATTCGCAGGAGGGCCAACAGCCGGCGCCCCTGCCCTGGCTGCCATGGAGGTGCCTCCCTTGGTCTGCACTTGTCAGACTCGCTGTGGTCTCCGGAGGTTCGTTCTCAAAGTCCTGAATCAGAGCCTCTGGCAGCGTCCGTGAAGGTGCCTGGCGTCCTTACCGCTCCCGCCTGTTGGTTGCCTCCGGGGCTGGCAGCCTAGAGCTTGGCTGTCCGCCCAGACTTATCTGGGCTCAGGTGATCAGGTTCAAGCTCAAGATGGAGTCAGTTAGGCTGATGCTTGCTTTTCCACAAAAGGTCCCAATAGCTCTGGGGTGAAATTACAGGCCTCCAACGTATCAACGCCAGCTCGTGTCCATGGCCGCACCTGGCAGGTGTGCCTGTGGTCAGCGAGGCAGGTGGGCTCGATTGGCGGGGTCTCTTGGGAAAGCACTTCTGGCACATTTTGACAACCTCTGCTTTCTGGGCATCCACAGTTGTAGCCGGGGGGTAAGTACAGGAAGCACAGCTTGGACCTGACAGACTATAAGCCCTGGCCTCCAGCGGGCCCCCTGTCATGATATTCTGCTGGTGTGGGAGGGGTAGTGCAGGGTGAGGCTTGGAACTGCTGCCACCTCCTGGACACCTGAAGGGAGACCCCTCTGAGGACAGAAAGCACAGCTCAGAAGGCACACGGGACAGATCAGACCAGGCCTCGGTGTCATCAGTGACATCACTGAGCCATTGAATTGGAATGTCTGTTATTTGAGCTTATATAGCATGTATAGTTGGGGGTGGAGAAATGGGGACAGAAGAGAGAAGCAACTACCTAGAAAAAAAATGGGCAAAAGGCAGGAACCAACATTCAGAAAAGAAGCAGCAGCCCTGGTCCGTTTGGCTCAGTGCTTAGTGCATCGGCCCACAGACCAAAGGGTGCCAGGTTCGATTCCGGCCAAGGAAAACCAATATAATAGTCTCCATGATTCACCATTCACGCAATGGGGAAAAAAAAAAATGGCTACATCACCAGCAATAATGCAGTTGTATGTCCCTTCTGGGGATTGAATAAATACAGGAAAATCTTACCAGTTTGAAATTAGACTTTGAAAGAAACTATGCTAGGGAACAAAGACAGGGACAAAAGAGAATCACTGATTGGCTATCTCCTGCACGCCCCCTTCTGGGGATCAAACCCACGACCCAGGCATGGGTCCCCATTGGGAATGCCTTGACCAAACCAGCAAAATGCTTCAGAGGAAGCTTTCCAGAGGCCCAGAATCAAATCTTTCTGACAGTTGGCCAGAAAGCCTGGGGCAGAGGCCAGCACAGTTGAGCAGATGTGCATCTCCCCTTCTCTTTCCTTAGTAATAAAGAAAAACTTTGTAAGTAATTAAAAAGAGAGAGAGAGAAAGAGAGAGATGGAGATGGCTTTGGAGCAAAGGTCACATCTAGAGCCCTCATAAGATAACATTATCTAAAGATGAAGCCAAGCCCAGCTGGTGTGGCTCAGTGATTGAGTATCAACCCATGAACCAGGAGGTCATGGTTAAATTCCTGATCAGGGCACATGTCTGGGTTACAGGCTCGATCCCTGGTGAGAAGCATGCAGGAGGCAGAGGGTCGGTTATTCTCTCTCATCATTGATGTTTCTATCTTTTTCCCTTTTCCCTTCCTCTCTCTGAAAGCAATTTAAAATAATAATAATAAATATGAAGCCAAGAGTGTAAATGCAAAATCCTTTGTTACAGTCTCAAAGAACTGTCCAGTCTGGGACTTCTAAGTACTTTGCAGCAGTCTCAGGAGCAGCCTAAGATAAAGAGTTGGAGGTGTGAGAGAAGTGTTTTGACAGAACCACCACCAACTTGGGCTGAAAGGGACAGAGAGAGTTCAAAACAAAAAGTAACCTTTGAACTTCAGACATCTACAGACAGAAGGACTGGGAAAGAAATTCTGTTGCAAACACAGGCTACCTTTCTCGGGAAAGGAAGGACAATTCAAGGAGACCCATTCCCAGGCATGATTAGGACTGAGTCCTATTAAAAGTAATTTTTAAATGTACTCCAATGGATTTCAGAATTGCTATGGGTCAGTAACTCCTATATGGCCCCCTTGTCCCTACTTTTTTGACAGAAAGTCTAATTATTCTATTCCTGCCCCACCACTGAATGTTAGATGTGTGAGAGACAAATAACTTGTCTCTTTTTAAAAATATATATTTATTTCTTACAGAGAGGAAGGGAGAGGGGTAGTTAGAAACATCGATGAGAGAGAAACATTTGATCAGCTGTCTCTTGCAGACTCCCTACTGGGGATGTGCCCACAACCAAGGTACATGCCCTTGACCAGAATTGAACCTGGGACCCTTCAGTCTGCAGGCCAAAGCTCTATCCACTGAGCCAAACCAGTCAGGGCTAACTTGTCTCTTTAATTCACATATCTTCAAATTGTGAGGAATCAGACCTGAGTAGCCCCAACAACACTTAGGCCTGAATCAATGAGATTCTTAATCGTTTTTAGAGATGCTCAAGGAAGGAGACCTTTAGGCACAGTTTGCATGTGGGAAGGACTTGAGTCTTTGGGGGCAGATGGCAGTGGGGGGAGCCAGCTTCCGGCATGGTCCCATGCTCCTCATCTAGTTTTCATGCCTTGCATACTCCCACTCCACAGTGTAACCAACAGAATGCTTCAGAAAAAAAATTTAAAACATGATTTTATTCATTGTTTTTAAATATAGAATAATTAATAAAGGGGATTAGTTAATAACTTTATTTTATTAATGACAAAAATATAAACATTTTAGTGTGTGTGTGTAAACATATTTTAAAATCCACCTACATCTTTACCACAGTGCCAGAGATGGTTTTATTTCCCTGCACTTTTTTCTAGTTTTGTTACTTAAACGCATTTGATTTTGCCTGGTTACAACCAACCACACAGGCTATCTTCTTTGCTTGCTTAATATCTATCACATCTTACACATTTTTTCACCTTGATCCACAGACTGTTGTTATAATGAGCGTGTATTTTTAAAACATTTTAAACATCCCTTCACGTTTCTTGCAAAATCAATACATTTCTTACTTTATACTCACACGTGCAAAGAAAATTCAGGTTATTTATCACCTGTAACTGCTTGGCTGTTCTCATGAACACGGGAGTGGGGATGAGTAAACTTTCAACCAGTCCACTTCATCACCTGCCTGGTTGAATGAGCTCTTTTGGGTGACGTGGGGGTATATTATAGAAGGTTTCCTATTTTCCTCCTCTCCCTGTGCCTCTCTAGGAGGGCACCTGGGTCTGGAAGGAGGGCTGGTGCCCTCCTGTATCAGAGGCTTTGCTGTATTCCACCCACTGTCCTCGGATTGGGTCTTGGGTGTCACCAGCTGGTTTCCCTGAGGGAGGTGGTCTGGTCCCGCCCTGGAATCCAGCTGGGAAATGAGACCTGTCCCTCAGGACGGGCATCCCCTCCCCGTAAAGAGCATGGCCACCCCACCCCAGGCCTTTCTCAATTACAACTGAGATCCAAGCCTCACCCCAACCCCTGGTCTAGGCAGTTCACCCGGCCACCATCCTCCATAGGGTCCCTCCACTCCGGCCCTGCCAGCCTTCTGGAGCACACTCCCCAGGCAGGGCTCATCCCGTGTGGGTACAAATGCATGCCGGGGTCCCTCCCACACCGCGTGGGAGCTGACGTGTCTAGGCATGCTTACTGGTGCTTCCTCCATGCCTCGACACGCCAAATGTCCACCTGCCTCTCACCTTCCTGCTAGGGTTTCAAGTGGAAAGCAGGGCCAAATCCTGTCCGCTTGGGGATTTTTAGCCAACCTGTCTAAAGCCCCTCCCCCTCTCTGCTCCTGCTTCTCACCTCTGTCCCTAGGGGAAGGGCGTGGGGCCTACAGAAAAGCATCCAGGACAGAACCCAAAGGAAAAACCAATATGGCAGGACCCCTAACTGTGGACGGAAGCAGCCCACGTGAGAGGAGGGAAACCAGCAGCCTCTGGCCTAACTAAGTCCAGGGAAGGGAGAGGCCTGTGGGAGGAGAGAGAGGTGTCTGGTTGTGCGAAGGAGACAGGCGCTGCTGTGCTGACCACTGGCCCCGGCGACACAAACGTCAGTGGTGGCAGTTTTGGCAGCGTGGCGCGGAGGTGGGGGAGCGAGCCGGGGGTCAGGAGAGGGAGACGGTGAATGCAGACCCGGCTTGGGGGAGACTTGGCTGTGAAAGCGACGAGAAAGAAGATACAGAATGAAGAAGAGGCTTTTTTTTTTTTTTTTTTAGATGAAAAAAGGTATAAATTAAAGCCTGACACAGACCAGCCAAGCTGTAAGGGAGAAAGGGGCTGGCACTTGAGGCAAGCTCCTTCCTAACCGTTTCCATCTTTCTCTGTGAGGCAGGAGCGAGGCCTATCCTCCGCTCGGAGCATGACAAAGGGCGGTGGGACCAGCGTGTTACCAGAGAAATGAGGGGGTCCAGTTTCCCCAGTGCTGGTGGGTGTGGGGTGGCTCTTGCAATATCTTCAGAAAAAGAATTTTTTTTTTTTTAAGATTTGCACAGGAGAATGAATGGTTTTTCCTGGCACGGAGTTACATTCCTTGGGTTGTGATGGCCCCATGCCCCTCAACCCAGGCCTGAAAAGGGGGGCAGCTGTGGACTCAGCAAAGCAAACGCAAAGCCGGTGGCCAGAGCTTCTGTCCCAAGTCCGTCCGTCCATTGCATGGGCCTCACGTGGCTGTGGACCGCGTGGGCAACCGAAAAGGAGCGTGGCACCTGCAGCCAGAGCGCAGGCAAGCCGGGGAGGCAAGAGCGAAAGGCCAAGAGGCGGAAGTTTACGTGTCCGGGCTCCACGCCCTTGCCATGGCCAGGCCTATTCTAGCCAATGGCCTGTTGCCAGGCATGATGGACAGGCAGGTAAGCACCTTCCCACAGCACCCATCCATGCCTGGGCATGCGTCTAACGTGTCTTTGTCCAGTCCCTTCCCCCACCCATCAGCAGGGAACAAGAGCGCCAAATTAGCTAAACTGAATAAATGGCATGCCTATGTTACCTGGTCTCCCCTTGACTCCTTTCTTGGTAAATAATAACCAGGTTACTACAACAGTATCAGAAGGACTGGGGAGAGGGAAGTTTTGAAAGGCCTTCCGTGCCCAAAGGGGGGGAAAGCTGAGGGCTGAGTAGGGACACACACACGAATTGCCAAGTAGTGCAGATGCCCAAGGTGACTTCAGCAAACGTGAGTCTACTGGGGCGGTGACCTCAGAGGAAGTGTGTGTGTGTGTGTACACCCAGACATCCAGATTTTAGACACGGGCTTTACAAACCATTCATCATGTGAGATCACTTCTCCCAAGTCACAAGCTTTGCCCCACTGGTGCTGGTGGCTCAGGTGGGCAGGAGAAAGAGCATATTTAGCTGAGAAGCTGCAGGAAGGCAAAGGTGGTGCCACAATGGAAGCATAGCTGGAAAGGTCCTTAGAAATCATCTAGTCTCGCTACCCTGCTGTTCACAATGAAAAGCCCAGCGTGGAGGAGCCGGGAGTCCCTTGGGGACCTCCTCCAGCTAAGCCCCACCCCCTTTTCCCAGCACAAGGGCTGGCTCTCTCTCCCCGAGAATGATACTAAGCAATTCACTGAAACACAGTGTACTGATGCAGGATGGGGGACGCAGGGGATCCTGGCAGCCTGTGTCTTCGCATTTTCACAAGGCTCTCTAGATTCGCGCAAAGCCACGTCTTCTTCCCTTAATGTGACACCGAGAGGGTGAACCAAGGCTCTCTGCGATTCTGCAGAAAGCCAGCAGGGGGCACTCGACACCATTTTATGCGTTTCCTCGTCCCAATTGTTATTTGGGATGGAATTCACGCACGCATGATAAAAATCGGGCTTCACGCATCTTCTTTAGATCATAAGTACAAACCCTTCTTACCTCTCCTATTAACTCAGTAGTGGAGAGGTAGTGGAAAAGAAAAGAAGTAATTAGAGCTTTGACTCCCAGTCAGGGTCAGGTACGTGAGCTGTGGGTTCCCTGTCCCAGTCGGGGTGCATGCAGGAAGCAACCAGTCAATGTGTCTCTCTCACATCGATGCTTCTCTCTCTCTGAAGAGCAGTGGAAATAATTCCTCGTGTAAGGATTAACCAAAAAAGAGAGAGGGGTGGGGGAGAGAGTAGGCATGAAAGAGCTGGGTTTGGGCAATAAGAGACGTACGGAATGCTGCTACTGTCTCCTAAATGCAGACAGGAAGTAGAATTTTCTGATGTCACAACAAAAGGGGGAAGGCCCCAGCTTGAGACATTTCGATAGCCATCTCAATGCCATCATTGAGCAGCTGTTCTGGAAATTCAAGGAGGCAAGTGACAAAAAAAAGTACCAAGTGTGAATGCTGCGACTATCCACACGTAGAGCTGTAGCCCAGGAACTGACAGTGCCCGGGGAGAGGAGAAACCGAGCCGGGGGCGCCCCCAACACACGCAACGCCGATCCTCCTTGCATCTGCAGAGCTACAGAGCTACAGGGGAGGGTCCCCGCCAGGGATTAGGGGGTAGGTGGGCCAGACTGTGGGGTGTCGGAGTCCCTTCGTGGTTCCCTCGGGGAAATGTCCATCCATCCAGTTACCCCAGGACAGTCCCAGTTTGTGCCTATTGTTCTGGCATAGTCGGCGTGCCCCTTGTCACGCCCAGAAGGCTTCTGGTTTGCACGTTAAGCCCCTGAACGCCGCACAGCTGGACGGTGCCGCCGCCCAGGTGAAGAGAATGACGTCAGCAGGTGCCCGCGCCCACGCTGGGGTGGGTGGAGCCTGGAGTGCAGAGGACCTGTGCCCGCCACCCCATCCCACCCCACCAACCCCCCTGCGCGTTCTCCCCTCTCTCGCTGCCAGGGGGACAGCCAGGGCCCGGCCACGGGGCCCCTAAGAGGCACCGTCTGTGCGTTGGGAAGTCAGGAGTGCTCAGCAGCAACCCGGTCCCGGAGCAGCCAGGCTTTCCTTCCCGGGAGCTCTACAGGGAACAGGTAAAAGCAGGCGGCAGGGAGAGGGCCAGAGGACATTTCTGTTTTTAATAACAGAGAGCCGTCCAGGAGCCAGCAAGTGGGAGCTTGTCTTTCAGGGGTGGCTGGAGGCTTTACATCAGAGCATTATGAAGAGGGCGTCAGTGCCAAGCGGGGCCGGGCAGGCTTCTGCGCTCCTGCCCGCCGGGGTTCCTCGCCGTGGCTTCATGCGAGGGGAGGGGCCAGAGAAAGTCACTGACGTGTGGGCACTCCTGAACCCCATTTCCAAAGAACTGCCTCCCAGGACCGCTCCGGCTCACCACACGTGCCCAGGTGCAGGTGCGATGGCCAAGAGATCAAGACTTAAAGTGACAAAA